ACATCCGGCTGATTCACAGCTCCTTATAATAAAGAACAACAGAATGAAGGGGAAGTGAGAAGGAAATCCTTCATGGGAGAGCAGATAGGGAGACGATGATGGGTTTTGGGACCTTACGTAAGGTAAAAGATTCATCAAATATTCTTGCTGGGTTATTACGTGGGCACTCCTACGCCAAAAACAGGAACTATGCCAAATATTGGCTGAACAGCATGAGTGCTTATAACAGTCTCTATTCTTTTTGATGCTGATGGCAGTTACTTAAAGGCTGTTAAATTGGGTGTGAATTGGGGTGGTTTGACCCACCTACTTAAAGCCTATAGGTGAGGTGATGAAAGCAAAACTAAACATTTTTTCTTTATATTACAAAAAGAATGTTTTAGGAGTGTTCCAAATGTCCAAATTTTTCTATAACCAAAAAAAGTTAGGTTACAAGTTATTTAGAGGGTGAATTTTCACCTGGTGCCAAAGAAGCTAGATGGAAGGTCATCTTCAGTAAAAATCACTGCTTGGTGCCCTCAGGGAGACGAAATGATGCCCCCTTTGTAGTTGGAAACTATTGGTCTTTAATTTTTTTGGATTATGATTATATAAAAAGTAACATGAAAAGTGTTTTATTAAAAAAAAAAAAAGTCCTCAAGATTGATGTTTGGTGTGGGTGCAGAAGGCAATTTGGGTTGCATGAGACGTGTAATACCTCAATAAATTGTGTCCTGAAATCTAGCTTTTAAAAAGTTGACTTTTCTGAAATTCATTGTATAATTCGCACACTGGCTGTTGAGTATGTGTGGTTACATAAGACAGCTGGTTACATAAAGTGTTGGGACTGTGAGTGAGGAGGTTATCCTAAGTGTTGCCAGAGACAAATCTAAGATTAAGATTAGGGTCAGGAATTAGGGTTAGGGACTCTCAGTCGGCTTGGGTCATAAGGGGACATAGTGAAACTGAAAGATCATTTGTAGGCAAATAAGTCTCTGTAAATTCCGGCAAGTTCATTCCTGCCTATTGACAGTGAAAGGCCATAGCAACAGCACACAGGCAATGCAGTGGTGGGAACTCCTCTGATTACACTCTCTTCAGACACAAGAAAGTTTAATCTTGTAAACACAGTTAGGCTCCTCACTCTCAATTTATGTTCTTAATCAGCTCCCAGGTGAGGTGTGAGCAGTATGCTGCTAGTGAAGTGCTCGTATGTCTATGTAATAACATAAAATTGCAGTGAAGTGGGGTTTAGGTGAGCGTCTAGGAGAACTTGTGTTTTATAGGTTGTGGTGTGCATGTGCAGGCAGCAATGGTTGTAAAATTGGTCCATCTTCCACGACATGGCAGACTCGCACAGTACGTTTAGCCAATACCAAACAAGAACAATAAATATGTACTATGGTAGTCTGTCATGTCATGGAAGATGGACCAACTTTACAACAATTGTTGTATCTTCAGCTTTGGGGTACCACAGGGTTCGATACTTGGCCCCATACTTTTCTCATTTGCACTCAGAGCTGTAATGCATTCATTGCTCGTCATACAGTATGCTGCTTATTCTCAGCACGTCTCATTTCCTCCTATCTGTCTCTACACCTTATAGGGGATCTTGGCATGCCTTTCTGACATATCAAACTGGTTGCCGACTCATTTACCTTGAACTTAACTCTTCTTTTGAGCCAAGAACCTCCCTCAACTCAATAGAAGGTCAATTACAGTCTTCTTTCCCAGTTTCCTGAAAACAGTAGGACTCACCCTAGACTTTGCTGACCACACTACAACAACTGGCCATTCTCAGTGCTTTATGGTCTGCAATTTTGCCTTTCTTGGCCACTGCTCTATTAAGCTCCTCATCAAGGCAGTAGTTATTTCATGGCTCGGCTAATACAACTCACTTCTTGCTGGCCTACTTGCGTCTTCCTAAAGCCCCCCTGAGTGCATCCAGAATACCGGCACTTGACCTGTGTTTAACCTCCATAAATTCTCTTATGTCAAGCCTTTGCTCAGGTCTGTACTTTGGCTCTCAGTTACTGCAGGAATTATATTCAAGTGTCTGACCTGCAATGCTAATGTCTAATTTACTATTTTGTCATTTAGTTTTATCCAAGGTGATTTAAAATACACCTGTAGCATCCTGGGAAGGGACTGCATAAGGGTGGTAATTCTTGAATCAACTCTTTAACCTACAATATTTTTGTTACCAGCCAAGATCTTTAAATATTAAGCTACATTATCCCAGTGGTGCCAATAGCCTGGTCCCCTACTACCATCAAACATCCGTCATCCATCTCTCCCCCTAAAGGGTTCCTGCTTGTTCAGGTCTAGAATACATCATTCCTCAAAGTGCAAGTTTTATTTGTCACATGCTCAGTCGAAATAGCCCTGAAATGTTTTCACACAGGTCTCCACACCGTGGCTGTAAGTGGAACGACGATAGTCTGTGGGTGGAGGTTTCATCTTCACTGTATATGTGTTTGTGTGTGTGCGCTTGTGTGTTGCCCCTCAGCCAAACTGCCTTTATCAGGCACGGTGGGAAGTTGTTAGATCGTTAATCAATGTCAGAAGAGCAACATGCCCTATGGCGTTTCTCGTCTCAAAGGAAAGCGTTGCCATGTGGCTGTCATAATGGGAATGTATGGGCAGCAATTGACGGGAGAATGCAAGGATTAGTCAGTGTATTATGTCAAAGCTGAGCCTCAAGATTCCTGTCTCACAAAACCTTTTGTTTATCATTCAGTCATGACTAAAATGCATTTATATATCTCTTGGATAGCCTCAGCTTCAGATGTGCTTTCTTGGCCTAGTTTCGAGGAACAAGACGTGGCCTGTAGAACAGATCGGTGGTCAGATGTACTTATATGAATGATTTGTGTGCTGCAAAGTGACATACCTAGTTTTTCTGTACAAGGATTTCCGGATGGTGTCAGCTTCTAAAAAAAAGTTTTAGAAAGTACAAGAGTCACTTGAAACAGTAAGTAGCAGAAATTATGCAGATCAGTCCTTCGCATTACTCTATATCCACTGCAGTTGTTGCTCTGAGGCCTTATCTTCCATTTTCAGTTCATCACAGCGCGCCGCGGCACACTGGCCGATCTCCAGAGCGATATCCGTCGCATAGAATGCTGACACAAGGAGGAATTGTCTTCAAGAAGAAGGAGAGGAGCGAGGGAGCGTCTTGGCTTGTGCATGCTGGCTGATATCGGAGCTGTCAGTCAAACAATGAACAAACTCTGTCCTAGGGACAAAAAGAAAACTTCACTCACACTCCTTCTTCCACATCCTTATCGATCTCCAACTCCACTGTTGTTCAAATTAGACAGTTAAACACACTGTCTGTGCCAATCTGCGTACACAAATTAGTAGTCGGTCTCCTGTTCAGAGACGTAAAAACCTAAATATTTTTTAAAACCAGTCGGTTTTCTCAACCCTGAGCTTTGTATAATTTTGCAGCCTTAGGGTCATGTTCACCAGACAGCAAGCAGACATCTTTTTTAATGAGCGTTCACATAGTTCTTCAGTTTGAAAACATTTGGACTGAGTGTAGCAGAATGGAACAGAATGCAGAGGTCTTGAGGTGCATTTGTAAAAGTTGAACTATTGGAAGACGGTGTTAAACTTTGACAGCACTGATTTGGTCAGTCAGGTCACAGAGCCTTTTTTATGGCCTGGTTTCAGCCTTTTCACATTGCTTTTATTATTGCCACAGCCTTCCGCATTCAGATAGATGTCTTTGTCTATTGCTTTGCTTCTTGTGCTGCTTTTGTGCATCCATAAGGGTTGCACTTTTAAGACAATATGTCAGGTTAAAAATAGTCCAACTTTTAAATACCTCCACTTCCATTCTATTGTGCTTCATCTAAGCTGTTTATGAATGTCAGAATGCACCTTATGAAACATGTCCAGTCGGGGTAGAGTGAACCTTAAACCAACTAGTCGTTAAAGGGGACAGAACACACAGTTTAGCTCAATCTCATGTTAACCCTTGAGTACCTATAAAGTAGTATTGCATTCTTCATATCTCCAAAGAGTCTTTAGTTTTATCATATTTATAAAAGAAAGATACAGCTTTACGATTCTCTCCGAAAGCAGCTGAGCTCCTGGAGGTGTGCCGTGGGCGGAGCTAAAGAGTCAAGCGCACTTGCGCGCCGATTGCCAACAAAACACAGAAATTTAATGCCGTTTCACTTATTGCCTGCAGTTCCGAATCGTGACCGGGGCCTTTTATCGCTGGGACCGCTCCATCTTTCAGTTTCAAACGATGTGCAAATCCAGAATCAAACTGGGCCTAGTTTATAAAACATTCATCACCGAAATGATGGGAACAAACAAACACACTTTCCGAAACTTGTACGAACCCAGGAGTGTATTTGGCACAGAAATACTCTGTCATGTGTCCAAATTGTTGAAATTTTGGTCATGTTTAGCGTGGGAATTCAACTTCTTAAAATTTTGTAAATAACTCAGAAAGCATGAAATAGCATTAGACCCTCCCTTTTAAGACATTCAATTTTGAAAATATCCCTAGACTTTAGGGTCAATGTAACATCCATGCAGACCTCTACCATAGATGTCTATAGAGTCTCTAGTTCCTAACGGCTTGACTGTCACATGTGGTGCGTTGATGGATTAGAGCCAGCAAACCCAGACTGCCCTGCCCAGAGCTGACCTACACATATCCATATTATTTGCTTTGTCTCTTTGCTACACATTTGTACTTTTTGCTAACAATGTTTCGTTTGCCTTTTCTTGTTGAGCGGGCTTCTCTTCTCCCTGTTGTGTTTGAAGTGGAGATGATTTTACTTTCAGAGGTGTGCACGCCACCCCCAGTTATATTTATCTCCAGACTTCAAAGTGCCACCCTGCTGTGTTTTTGCATCTGAACAAATAAAGAAGGTTGTTTCTCCAGTGCAGCCTTCCATATGGCTCTCTTCCGAAATGAACCAGCCAAGGGGAACGGGAATCACTTGTTCAAATATAATCGTGTTAACCAGTATTCTCCTTTTCTCTTTTCTCCACAGTTTCTCCTAAGATGAAACTCCAGCACTCCTAAAGAAGGATGACACCCCTGGCACATTGGCTATGACGGTGCCTATGTGCATCTGTGTCACTCACATGCCAAGCCTGAAAAGTGGAAAGAAAGACAGTTCAAACACTTCCAAGCTCTAGAGTGAAACTTTGCACAGTTGGCCATGGCTGCATATCCATGGCTTGGAGGATAGGATCCCTTGTTTAGCAAGCATTTTTACCACAGTGAGTTTTTTTTAACTGGTCATTTAGCAAATCCAGCACTTCCTTGCCCAGAGGGTTTATAGAGTAACTGTCACACACAAGCTGAACCGGAGGATCCAAAATGGAGGTCACACAGCAACCCTCTTTCTACCGGACTGGTTAAAGCTGCAGTCAAAAGCATTACTGCAAGGGCAGTATGCAGGCAGCTGACTACCCAGCCACAAATAATAACACAGGTAAGAATCACCTTACCCCTTGATAGGTGCCCTAAGCAAATTAAGTTTCTCCTTAAGTCTCCTAAGTTTCTCATTCAAGGTTTACACGTAATTTAATTAATTATACTTTCAACTACATGTTAAAATTGATGTACAATTGAAAATGAAGGCTCCGCATCAATTATCATTTTCATTCTATATCAGGCGGGTCCTCATAGTTTCTGGAATTATCACATGACCAGTCATTTACTGTACTTTTTTCTTTTTTATATCCACAACAATAATAATTTGGATAATAATAGCTCTATTCTTCTTTGTTTGTTACATTGTTATTACATTATTATTATGTTATTATTATTAATAACTAGGTGGTAAAATATATTCACTGTACTAATACTACTTATTATCATTATTATTATTATCATTGTTACTATTATTAATAAATATAGAATATTATTATATATTGTCACCTAATGCTGCTGCTTCATCATCATCTTTTTCTTCTTATTATTATCTAAACATTAGCAGTACTACTATGATATTTTGGCTCTCAGAAGTCTGCCATTCATGTGAAAAAATTTGGTCAGTCGAGTTCACCCTTAGCCAGGAGTTTGACTGGCAATCTGACCAATCATAACACAACATTTTTGCCATTTTGTCCGACAAACAAACCAGACAGGAGAGTAGATTAATGTTGGTGGACTTGGACTTAAAAAATTGTGTGTTTTGATGTGATGTTTCCGCGGTTGAAACAAGATACCTTCTGATGTTCATTCATGTTTATTTCATGCTATAACTAGCAAAGAGGAAGAGATGATGGGTTAATGTGCCACTTGAACTGATGCCCTACAGCGATCTGTCACGACACATTAGATATAAGAGCCGTAAAACTGTATTTATTGTTTGAATTTCTAAAAAATGACAAAATTTGAAAGCTGAGACTTTGTTTATAGCAAAAGTAACCTGCTCTCTCTTGTCTGTTGGCACGTTGTTAGTGTCCTCTTTGCTCCGCAATGTATTTTTGAGAGTATCATGTCTTGTTGGACATAGCAACAGTAACTAAGGGGGTCCAGGTCCTTACGATGGGTCAGTTGAGTCACACCTTCTATAAATAATTTGAGAATTCCAGAAGATCATCGTCTAATCACTACCTTGTTACTCAAAACATTTAAAGGGGTCATATGATGCGATTTAAATTTTTCCTTTCTCTTTGGAGTGTTACAAGCTCTTGGTGTCGCGCCGTTCTCAAGCCCACCCGCCGTTCCTCACTCAGCCCGCCGGCCTCCGCTCACTCAGGATGCCACTGGATGCAACAAATGCCTCGTTTATAATGGGTTTTAATGTTTTTGTCTCGTCATTACACCAAATACACAAAATAATGTTCTTTTTAGCAACATCATATGACCCCTTTAATACTTTTTTTATGTCACATAAAAGAAATAGCTTTTCTGTAAAACTCAGTTGCTACTGATTACTTTTCAGGTGCAGATTTACTTAGGGAAGGGTTTGCCTCATTCATTCATTAATTAGGTTAGGGAAAGAAGTGAGGCTGGAGTGCCACTGGTACCCCTTTAAAAAAAGGCACATGACGCCCCATGGGTGTTAGTATAAAGTCAAATCAATTACTTATTAACAAAAAGTTGCTTAGTTCACCTTTGTTTTTGAGAATGCATGACTTTTTAACTGCAAGGAGTCCCTATCATGTTGGTAGGGTTGTGTTTCAAAAAAATAAAAAAAGAGACTCTTTTCAGAAAGTGAAACTTCTGCCTTTGTTCGGGGCTGGCCAAGTGCTGACACCGAAAATACTCCAGTATCCAGCTTTTATTATCAGATGTGGAATTTGAACTTGGACTGGAATTTGGACCCATACATCCAAAAATTCCTGAGAGACCTGAGGTAGAGGATATTGTTTTAACAACTGGATGGCCCCCAAGCTGAGCCGGGGTCACAATGTTCTGCTATTTTATTCATCATGGAGAGAAATGAAAAACCAGAACATTCTGTTCAAAAGCATGTGATGGGCTCTCCAGCTGAGGGGAAAGAGCGCCGGCCCACGGTCCCAGGCAACCTGTCAGTCAAGAAATCACAACAGAATGAAATGCTTCAACTAGCAAAACCAAATAAACGTTTTGAACGCTGGTTTGAAATTTAGCACAAAGAAAGTCCGTGCAAAAATACAACTGAGTCATTATTTTCTCATTTTCTCACCTTCATGTCATCCCAAACCTTTATGACTTTTGTGGATCTCAAAAAGCTTCAAAAAGCACCATAAAGGTAGTGACTTGAGTGTTGTGTTCTTCTTTGCGTTTAATTCAAACATGACATGATGAGACACTTTGCCTATAGCAATTAGTTAGTGCTAAAACATACCATAGTTTAATAAATATATTTGTGAAAAATTTGAATATATGACTACTTCAATGGTCATTTTGTGGATTTGTTTTTTCTCAATCCATCAATTATAATTTTGTTGCATGGAAAAGAGCAGCTTGAACATTATTCAAAATATCTTCATTTATGTTTCATGCAAGAAGGAAAGTCAGGTTTGATTGACATGTGGGTGAGTAAATAATGACAATACTTATTTTTTGTGAACTATTGAACTTAAGTTAACTAAAATACAAAACGACCATGGTTTATTGCTTAAAACATTTGAGAAAGACAATCACAAAGCCTAGTAAATGTAATTAGACAAAATACTATAAATAACAACCCAAATATCATGTAATTTGTTAGATGTATGTCTGTAGCATTGATCAGTCAAGTCGCTTTAATAGCCATTTAAGTTCATTTTATCCCAATCACAGAGATGTATGCAGCTACTGTTTTTGTGTTGATATGATTTGATTTAATTTGCTCATGATTTTGCCTAGCAACAGAGACCGAAGCTACTCAGTTTTGATGCTTGTGCTCGCTCGCTCACTCACTTCACACACTCTCACACACACACTCACACACATATACTGTAGTCTTCATGGAGTAGGAATTGTGTTGGTGTTTCATGGCAGAGGCGTTTTGAGTGTGGACAGCTTCCAAATCGATTCCTGTAATTTTGTGAGCCCACGGCACACAGGTTTGCGTAGGGAGGTTCAGATAGGTTGGGGGAGTTTAAAGTGGGCTGAATGCCGGGGAATACGGCGGTACTAAACAAACGGGAATGAGGGAGATAGATAAAACAATCAATACTCGCAAGGTTAAACTCTGGTTAGCGGTGCTTGTTTTAGGTTTTGAGCCGTGGCGTTGGACCGAGCTCTTTGAAAGCTCCAGTCTAATATGTGCAGTTTAAATCTGGCTCTTTAAGTTACAGGCGTTTCAAAATAGCTTAATAGTTTTCAACTTTAAAAAAAGACCATCACACCAGCTATATGTAGAACAGCGTCTAGTCCTTGTCTGTTTTACATTTTACTCAGAAATGTTAATAAAGTGAGAACATATTGCGACGGCTGCTCCGTCTCGCACTTTTTGACTCGGTTCTGCTATGCATGCACACTTAATTATCCGAGCTCAGCCGGCGGAGGTCATTCGCTTCTCACCACGACACACACCGCTCCCCCTCAATGTGCTGGGGAATTTGGCGCAGAAATTTTCGCAGGCTTCCTCGCTCTTATTTTCTTTTCTTAATAAAGGAGCCAAGACCTGGAGGCGGCGACAGACACAGACTGAGGGAGAAAGACAGGGAGGGGAGTGTTGAAAGTGACAAAAGATATAGCGTGTGGGAGACGAGGTCCAAATAAGATTAAAGGTATTAAGAACAAAACTCATTTCGCAGCCTTGGAGGAGAAATCCAGCGGAGAAGTACACAAGACTTGCGTAATATAACAAGACATGTTATCCAAAACTAGACGGAAAAGTATCAATCCATTTTAAGAAGCGAAATACACACTATGTTTCCGGCTAATAAACGGATGGCCCCCAAGCTGAGCCGGGGTCACAATGTTCTGCTATTTTATTCATCATGGAGAGAAATGAAAAACCAGAACATTCTGTTCAAAAGCATGTGATGGGCTCTCCAGCTGAGGGGAAAGAGCGCCGGCCCACGGTCCCAGGCAACCTGTCAGTCAAGAAATCACAACAGAATGAAATGCTTCAACTAGCAAAACCAAATAAACGTTTTGAACGCTGGTTTGAAATTTAGCACAAAGAAAGTCCGTGCAAAAATACAACTGAGTCATTATTTTCTCATTTTCTCACCTTCATGTCGCTCCAAACCTTCATTACTTTTGTGGATCACAAAAGAAAATGTCAAAACGGTTATTCAAAATGCACCATAAAGGTAGTGACTTGTGTAGTGATCTTTACGTTTAATCCGAACATGGCACATTAAGACACTTCGCTTATAGCAAAGCTTTAGTTTATGCCTTAACATGCCAAATTTTAACAAATGAAGAGCTCATTTGCAAAAACCGATAAACGCCACTTTAAAAAAAATGAGCTGATTGCCGTGCATTATTCTCCACATAGCGCGATCTGAACCCTAAACACGTTTTGTCAAAAAAGCTGGTTTTGTCCACTTTTAAGGCATCGCGAGTTTTACTGCAGAAGCCGACAAGCGCCCTTGTTGTTTTTGAACAGAAGC